GTTTATTTTTTAATCTCGTGTTCTTTGATATTTCCGTCTCTCCGACAATATAAAAATGATGCTATATATCCGCTCCCACCTCAAGAATTCGAGAGCGCCAGTAACCCTAACCCCCCCCCCCCCCCAATTCCTCCCTCCGACGAGTCGACCCCTGTCGCCGGAGATCTCCCCTTATCCCCGAATCCCGATCGGTTCCTCCCGGTGCTCCGCCAGTCGCCGCTGCGGAACCCTAGGTCCCTCGCTATCGGCGGTTGAACGAGCGGGAGGCCCCCTCGCCCCCGGTCGATGACGCCGGAGAAGGAGATGACGGCTTCGCCGACGAGCTCTCGGTCGGTGACGGAGACCGTGAACGGATCCCACAAGTTCGTGATCCAGGGGTACTCGCTCGCCAAGGGCATGGGGGTCGGCAAGCACATCGCCAGCGACACCTTCACCATCGGAGGGTACCAGTGGGCGATCTACTTCTACCCCGACGGGAAGAACGTCGAGGACAACTCCACCTACGTGTCCGTGTTCATCGCCCTCGCCAGCGACGGGACCGACGTGAGGGCGCTCTTCGAGCTGACGCTCGTGGATCAGAGCGGCAAGGGGAAACACAAGATCCACAGCCACTTCGACCGGTCGCTCGAGAGCGGTCCGTACACCCTCAAGTACCGCGGGAGCATGTGGTAGCAATCGCACCAAGTCTTCGCCTTTCTTTGTCTTCTTCATTACAATTAGTTGTCTTTCCAAATATTATTGATATATTGGATGCTGTTTCTGTCCCTGGAATGTGTAGTAATTAATGACTAGATTCTGTGAACCATATACTTACCATAGCTGTCTTCTTGGTTTGGGTGCGGTCGAATTCTGTCCCAAGTCTTATCGTTTGAACTTTGCTAAACATTTTTGCCGTTGCGAAGCTATTAACAACGTTCCATCTTCTTCATTTTAATTTACTGTTGTACCTTCTGATTTAGTAAAAATAGCTTTATATAATGCTTTTTACCAGGATATATTATGAGGGATATTAACGATGTGTTCCTCCTATAACAGTTGTAATTGAACCGATAACTTGCTTGACATGACCATTATGGTCGGACTTCTTACATGTAATTTTGGCTCACACTGCATTGCATCTCATTATGACCCTTTTTTACTGTGCAATCGAAAACCCAATTGCATTGTGCCACCCTATGCTTTGGATCAGAATTCAGAATGAACTCTAGTTAGATGAACCAATGATGCCATATAGATGCAGTTATATAAATAGATACATGAATGAGACAGTCTTGGCCCGTAAGGATAGGTTAACAAGCATTAAGTCCTTTCTGTGGAGAGAAGAGAGAGTTACTTTGCTTCTTATCTTCTGGCATCTTGCTATAGTCAAAGAAGGATTTTCCATTTTCTTTAAGCCTTGTTATTTGGATTTTGATTTCTTCAATGTTATTTAATAAGAACAATATGGATTGCTGCAATTAAGATTCAGCATTTTTTTATTATTTTCAGTTAGTTAGGTTGCGGAGACAGTTCTATCTGATAAATTAGTTTCATTGTGGCTTGATGTTATCTTATCCTGAGATTCTCTTATTTATATTTTCATCCTGATAAACACAACCATGTGATAGTTCTGTTCTGTGTCATTCAATCTTCAGGGGTTATAAACGCTTCTTTAGACGATCTGCACTTGAAACATCAGATTACCTCAAGGATGACTGCTTGAAGATCAATTGTACCGTCGGAGTTGTTGTGTCTGTGATGGATTCACCTGGACTGCACTCTGTACATGTTCCAGAATCTGATATCGGAATGCATTTTGGTTCACTTCTGGATAAACAAGAAGGTTCAGATGTTGTTTTTGATGTTTCTGGAGAAAAAATTCATGCTCATAAGCTGGTGCTGGCTGCTCGATCCCCAATATTTCATTCTTTGTTTTTTGATGGATTAGATGATGAAAGGAATGAGATTGCTGTTACGGATATGGTACCGAAGGTTTTCAAGGTGTGGACTTTTACTATTTTACTACCCCTTTTCTCCTGTTATTTTGTGCGTGACTACAGCTATGGTTTTATTTGAATCCTTCTATGTTCACTTATGACTTGTTTATATCCTCCCAAATAGGCAATGCTACATTTTATCTACAGAGACACTCTTTTAGAAGATGACATACTTGTTACTTCCTACCTTCCTGAATCTTCTGTGTCGGACACACTGGTAGCAAAATTGTTAGCTGCAGCTGACAAGTATTGCTTGGAAAGGCTTCGACTTCTGTGTGAGGCTCATCTGTGCAGGGAAATATCTGTGAATTCGGTTGCCAGCACACTTGCGTTGGCTGATCAATATCATGCCATGGAACTTAAAGCTTCTTGTCTTAAATTTGCTGCAGAAAATCTTGCGGGTATATAACTTCTACTTCCCTGGTCTTCCATATACTGCTGCTGAACTAAGAGGTTTTTGAGACTTGAATAATTCCATTCTTCTTGCCTATGAATGCTTCACTAAGATTTTTCTGTAGGTGAGCTTGTGCCCATTTCATTATGGAAATGTGTAGTATTATTATAATTATTTTGGGTAGAATCATGATACATGTGATGTTATAATTACAGAAAGCTGAATAATTAAAGAGATTTGTAAGTCAGATTCTTCGATGTAATGTGAAGGCTATAAATACTTGATACATTTAATTATATTGCCTCTGCAAAATGTGTCCCAGTGATTAGTAATTCCTCTTGGATTTTAGATTCACAACATTTTAATTTTAGATTTTTTTTCTGCCAGGTGACCTACAATTGTATATTCTAGGTAGCAGACGAGACATAACTGAATGATACCTGTCCAGGACCAAATAATTTTCTTTTTGATGGGCACATTTTTTTTTAGTCTCTTGGTTCTGCTGAGTGAATGCATCTCTCGGGTTTTTTTTTTTAGAAGTCTAGTCCAACTAGATTTTGAGAGCAAAGTGATTCTTTTCATATTGATGCATCCTGGGACAAGGTAATTGTCACAAGTTTTGCACTTGTTTATTATTATCTAGATTGTTGAGAGTCCTCCTTTTAGATATCTATCCTTTATGCAATTTTGTAAAGTTAGCTCGGTGGTGGCTCCATGTCGATCCGGCTTGATTAGATAATTGGTCTGTCAATTTCGTTGAGCCTAAACACAGGTCAAAATACCTAAGCTAAAGTTAATAGTAGTATACCCATCAAACCCTTATAAGTTAATCTTAATCTTAGTTCACTTTCGATCTGGGACTAATCAAGGTATTACACCTTTTCATCGATATGCCTTTTAGGTCCATACTTGCTTTGCTTTGGACACATTCTAATGGCATCATATTGTTCTAAAAGTTGATATTCTTTTAGGCTCATGATTAGAGATATCTCTTTAGTTACTCTGATCATCAAGTAAATTTACTTCATTTGAAAGTTGATATTGTTTTTTGGATGAACTTTCAAGTCATTTTGGTTAACTATAACTAATAGTGTTTTGTATTCACTTTAAGTAATAAATGAACCTTGATTCTTAATTTGATGCAATTAAAACTTTTAAAGGAGTATTGGCATCTCAATGGAAGTTTTCTGATACTTTTTTTTTAGCCATAAAACTGTTGTACAAAATACATTAGGCACAAATATTGTGCATGCAAATTTAATCCCACATTGGAGTTTTTCATCAAATTAATGAGCTAGTTTTCTCGTCGGACCTAGTTCCAACACATTCGAATTTTCTAAGAGAATACTTGAAATGTCTAGGAATTTGTTGCATGATGATCTGTTCAAACTAATGTTTGTTTGTTATGGTCTATGGTAGTACTGGAGTGTGATTTTAGATGCCTCAAAATTTCTGGGAATTTGTTTGATGATCGTGATATATTCAAGTCTCTCTCTCTAAGATTAGCCACTGTTGGGATCTATGTTTACGTATGAACCAAGTTAGTGGTGAAGTGATCTTGGGATGTAAAAAGTTAGTGGTGAAAGTGATCTTGGGATGTAAATTGCTTGTTTCATGGTCATTCATTAGAATATATATTTTTTTCTTGTAGATTGGTACGAGATGTTCCTGCACATTATTGTTATTTGAATGAATGGCTAGGAAGTGTTCAGTAAATCATCCAAACCTCTGAATTATTTCTCCCTGTTTTAGATAATATTTTTTTATTTACTTCCCAAGAATTTTTCAATTGCATATCAATGCCTCCTTTATTCACTAACTATTGTCCTTACATGCAGCTGTGATGCGCTCAAGTGGATTTGAGCAGCTCAAGGACAATTCTCCAGCACTGCAGTCAGAACTTCTAACAACAATTGCTGGTTGTGACGAGGAATACAAGAAAAGCCGGAGTGACTGGGGTCAGCTTTCGGATGGCGAAGATTCTAGCGGCCGTAGGATAAGGCCTCGGACTGATACGGACACCAATTACTGATTCGTGCAATGACAGTAGTGTATGTCTAGGAAACAAAACCAGAGAAACCAGCAGGTGTATCTTAACTAGATGTTCATTGGTAATTAGTATTAGTGGCATGAATTCTAGGTTTGTTGTAGCCATGAAACTTGCAAAACATGCTTATCGTCTGACAAGATGCAACATATCCAAGAAACTTTTTTTTAGCATACAAGCCCAGCGTGGTGAATGCTATGTATGATGTATTAAACCCTCTGTTCTTCATATGCTTTCTCTTCTTGCAGAGAGAAATCTTTCGGAGTAGATTGTTTTTTATTTTTATTTTTTATTTTTTCACTCCAGTCGTTTTGTACAAATATGAACTGCACACAAAAATGGGTGTTTGATCTTTTACTGCTATTTCCCAGCGTTTATGCTTCACTTTGAATTATTTCCTATTTGGTTTGTCATATATAATCGATACAACGATTGAAGATACGTACGTAAAACCGTAAAGCCCCAAAACATAGATATTTGTGCGAGCATTCAGCTGCTACCCACAAAGGACACAAATCATGCTATCCACCTCGAATGGTCTTCGACACCATATAGGATATGTGAAACTTGTGGATGAGGCTCACTCTCACTCTCCTGCGATGGCAAGCGCCGCTGCCATCCTTCCTGGCTCGTCTCCTCTCCTCCATGCGCGTCCACCGAAGCGTCTCGGGACCTTGCATCAGCATCTCCCCTTCGCTTCTCTTCGGCGCAGACACAAGAGACAGATCTCCGTGACAGCCGCCTTGGCTTCGAGCATCTCCGTACCGATCAATTTGGACTACTTGGAGACGGAGTTCAGCGGGCATGGGGTGACCTTCGAAGCCATCGGCGACAGTTGCGTCGTCAAGATGGGGCTGGTGAACGGCAGCGTGGCCAGCTTGATGCTGCCCTGTGGTCTGATCACTTCGTACAAGCCCTACATGTGGCACGGTGCCACGTTCGAGGTGCTGCATACGACGGTCTCCGAGGGAGCCGATGGAGCTGCAGTCGTGCGAGGAGGAGTGTCCATGGATTTCGAGATCGGAGGCGACGGCTCGATTCCATGGTCCCCGAGTTCTTGGTCTCTTGAGAGCGTTCGAGGAAGTCCTGAGAAGTCCATTCAGGTACGAATTCGGGTATTCGTGGTGTCGTCGTTGGATTCGACGGTATGCATCTAAAGATGTGCAACTTCAGGTGGAGCTGGTATCGGTTTCTCCGGTGGACATGGCTGAAGTCAGATGCCTGGTCACTCTCCATCAGGACCTTCTTGGTTCAGAGCTGCTCATCTCTAACACCAAGTCCTCACCTCTCCAGTTGACGGGCTCCTTCGTCAGCCATTTGAAAGTGAGTACGCCGGACGCGGCATACGCGGTCGGGTTACAAGGCTCCAACTACCAAAGCAGGCAGCCATTATCGTCGCGGTTCAGCATGGATCCTCCAGACTTGGGCAGGAGGAGTCCCTCGACCTCCAAGAAGCCATGGACCCAGAATGTGCTTCGACGGCTGCTGCCCCGATGGGGAGACACAGGCGAGGAGGAGGAGGAGGAGGAGGAGGAGGAAGAGCTAAACGAAGGTGGCGACGCAGAAGAATCAGAGGGAGAAGAAGAAGATGACTACGCTCGCATGACAGAGAAAATGAGCAGGATTTATACCAGTGCGCCGAGGCAGTTCACGATCATCGATAGGGTGGGTAATCACCTCCTCCTCCACAGTGTGCAGTTAGATTTTAGTTCGATGCAGTTTGATCTTTATATTTGCGTATGTGTGTGTGTGTGTGTGTGTGTGTGTGACGATTCAGGGAAGACGGAACTCGGTTGTGATACGGAGGAGCGGATTTGAAGAGTTGTACATGTCGAGTCCAGGATCAGAACATGAATGGTACGGAAAATATGCATACGTCTGCATAGGTCCAGCTGCCCAGCTGACACCTCTGGTGTTGGGTCCCGGAGACACATGGCGAGGGGCACAGTACTTGCACAATCCAAACCTCTAAAACCCTACAAGAAACGACGGATCTAAAGTTAAATTTGTCCTCCATGTCAAGCAAGGAGAGGACAGGAGGGAAGGAAAAGAGAACTCGGGATCCTACAGGTTTCGAATGTGAACGACGTCGGTGATAGTGGGTGGAGTTCACATCTATGTAGCACCGAAAGAAAGGGGTTATTCACCTGTAAAGATGAGCTTTTTTTTAACTTGTCTTCAAGGCTCAAAAATCTCATCTTATTTCTTTTATAAATGCTTACGCTAGCTTTGACTTGTAGATATATGCTTTACAACCATATTTCAATGTTCACCAGTAGAAGCAATTCAACAAGATTGAGATGGAACCACAGTGAACCGTCGTTAATCTATCTAGCCCATCGTAGCAACTCACTCATGCTTCCAATTCAGAGGTAAGAATGACGCAGGGAACCCAAAAATAGACAGACAGACAGACAGACAGACAGAGGTCCAAATCCAACTCCCAATTTTAGCTACGGAAGGGAACGCTTAGCGGTACAGTTGTTAATCTAAAGCCCCCATGCCTACCCAAAATGTGGTCCTGCAGCCTTTCCAAACCTTTCACTTCACCTGTAACCACTGCCAGACTCGAGAAACGATTGCGACGCCATTGGCAACACCATTTCCAGGTTCATCCGGCGAAACAGAAACCGACTGCAACATGGGATTTCCATCGGTACCTCCCTTTTCATCCCCCGCATGGGCACGACGACAAGTTCTTCCACTCCACCACACCTGAGAGACCGAACCATCGGTAAATTACACTAGGCCTGCCTGGTAGGCTGGGTGTCAAATCTCTTCAAAAACAAGAGACTTGCCTGTTTCCGAAGAAGCTGCTGTTTAGTCCTTGTCTCCTCCTGCATTAAATTCTGACGCTTCTCGTAAAAGTCGAAATCATCAAGAACACACATGTTGTTCATGTGTTCCTTAAAAATCTTGAGCATTCGGAGGCCCTGCTCTAGCATCACCTGCATGCATCGCCAACACAGACAGCAAAAAAGAAAAGATGAAAACAACCAAGTATTTGATGTACCCGACCACACCCACAATATGCTCTCACCTCCTGAGCGTCTCGACTGTTGGTCACTGGTTTGTTATCATTGTTCTCCAGCGTGATGTGCTTCAGAATGCTGCTGTTTGGAACGTCCTTAATAATGTGCCACTCGACAGGGAAGCAGCCGATCGATCCACTTGTCGTCCTGCTGCCAATACTCCACCGTCTTGTTGAAGTCAACCGGACCGACCATTTCGGCAACACCAACAAATTGCCCACTGGTGTTTACCTAAATTTAAGAGCAAGACTCGGTACCGCTACTTTCTTTAACCGAACGTACGACTCGGCACCAATACTCACAGAGAAAAACAACAAGACAGGACAACCGCCGGCTTTTCCCTGAGCTTCCTGATATCCAGCATCCAGCTTCTTGTTTCCATATCCGGTGCTGGCCCATACATTATATTTGATGCTTTTGTGAATATCATCCTCGCTGTAGGCTTTAATGACGAACAACTTTGCATCTGCATAGTCATCGTCACTAGAACCACCAAATCCCCAAGAAATTCTAGGCGCACACACGTCGGTGATCAACGGAAAGCAGTCATTAAAAACAGCAAACTTTTCAAAGAATCGAGGTGTTGTTGATTCTGATTTCTCACCGAACAAGTTTTGGAATCACACGTTGTTGCGGCCGAAAGAGAGCAAGTTGTAGGCGGTCTGTGTTGCTCATTCGAGAATAAGGGCCTGGATCCATCAGGACCGGGACCGAATCGAGGGTCTTGATAACCAGTAGAATGAAGCCCACCCAGCAACCCTCCCTTCCCATACGAAGCATCGAGAGCAAGTGATGGATTTTGGTGACCCGACGACCTCAGAGTACCTCGTCCATCATTCTCATTTACATCACCGTTAGAAATTCCATTGGTGTTTCTCTCGGCTCTATCCACCGGAACTGGAGGCTGATCAGCAGCAACAGGGGTAGAAACTTCTCCTCGAGAAGTCGGTGGCCTTGGTGTCTGAGTTGCACGAGTTGGTGCATTTGGCTGGAAAAATGGAACCGGTTACTGATCCTGCTGTGCTCCATAGAGTTGACCATCATGTGCCATGGCCGGAATTGATGATCCATTAAAAGGATAAGTACCATAAGGAGTGTATGCAACTCCTTGGTACAGATCCCACTCATTGACAGAACCATCGTAACCTACAATCATACTCCAATAAGACTTCTAATGCTGATACCAAAGCAGAGCAAATCAAAGTGACAAGCAACACAAACAAGTCAGCTCACTGTAGATTAGCCAAAGCATCACCAGCAATGATACTAAGAGAAAACTAGCGCACTGTGGAACTCTCATAATAATAGCACCCGATAAAATTTGCTACCTCCATACAAGTAAGCTGGGGATGCATAACCGCTGGCTACGTAAAACATGTTGGGATCCGCAAACTCAGACACAAGTGGTGTCGGTGAACGGTTTGAGGGGGTCTCCATGTTTGATGATTCTCGATTGCTTGATCCTTGTTGGGCGAGAAACTATTGTATCAGAGAACGAGAAAAGATTAACACTGACTACTCTCCCAGTTAAACGAACAAAAACGATACCAAATGCAAGAGAAAAGATAAATCACCGGTGCGGTAGCCTCAACAGCGTCATGGGTCTTCGGCGGAGAGTCCAAAGATAGCTTCTGCAATAGTGCTGAAGCTTCTGCCATTTAATCGAGTTAAGGACAGTATCCATCCGAGAAAAGACGACATTTCTACAATAATTACATCGACGAGACCAAAACCTCAGAGCAGTCAAAGAAAAAGACACGAAGGAAGACCGATCAAGCCATATATCCTTCTCCACAAAGGCGGAGGAATACGAAAGAAAACACAGGAACTATAGATTTGTACTTTAATGAGCCCATTCGCAAACCAAAAAATTGGATCAAAAGAAGCATCAGTATAACACATCGGGTACCAACTAACGCAGGGAAACAATGGTAGCACGAAAACCTCGACCGGGTAACCATCAAACCGATTAAAGAACAGCGGAATCCGAAAACCAAATCGATCACACATTCGAGTTCTGCAATGCCCGCATAAACCCTCGCAAGCGCCCTCGAAACCAACAGCAACATAAAGAAAATGACTCATTTGATCGCATCGGGGCTCAAGAACGAAGAGGTCCGACAAGAACAACGTCAAGAACCATTCAGGAAAGCAACGCCAAAGAACCCGAACCCCGGGGCGGAAGGATACGGTCAGCTGCAGGGGCATTACCACGACGGAACAAAGGGCCGCAAAGAGCACATACAGCTGCTATTTAAGTCTCGTCTACGAGTCGATAGTAGATATTACACGAGTCCTACAAGCTTATTTCGGTACAAGGCGCATAAAACTTATTCCACGGGTAACAGAGGAGCAAAAGGCCGAGATGGAGCAGAAGGGAAGGCATCAAGGTTCTTGGTTGAATCGCGCAGCCGATACCATGGAATCTGCCACACCACCGGGGCGAACGCAGACGTCAGGACTGTTCCGCATCTCCGCCCTCACCACCCGCTCCGCGTCCACCCTCGTCGCTTCTCTGTCATCCAGCAGCCTCATGGCCGCGTCCTGACAACCATAACCGGAGTACGACTTCAAGCCAACGACGATGGTTCCCCGCAACTCAGCTAGCTGCTTCTGCGAAAAAGAAAGAAGACGGATTTGTACTAGTATGATCGATGTTACCTGAAGGACGTCGCCCAGCTTGGTCTTGTCCTCGTCACGGGTAATTCGTGCGTTGAGGGTGGCAGCACTCTGCGCGGCAGCCGCGATGCCGCCTCGCAAGACAGTGTTGAGCCCTGTTGCCGCTGACTCTGCCGCCTCAACCGCAGCCGCGTCGCTCATCTCGATCGGTTCGTCCCCCGCTGCTCTTCCGGCCGCCTCTAGCGCCTCCCCGATCGTCATCTTGTCGGTCCATGAAGACACTCCACCGAGACTCTGGCCCCGTTCCACGCCTCGCCTGCCGCCTGGGGCACCACCATCTCCACTTTCGGCGTCAACCACGTACTGGCCAACAGCCTACGGTCCATAGTAATAACAATTAAGAAATCCAACTTGATCAGAAAGTCCTTCCGCTAGATTTGGCGGCTCGCACGTACCTGGCCGGCGACAAACTCGGTAACGAGACGCTGGCCGGGAAGGCCATGGATCTCAGTCTGGGTGATGGACACGCCCTGGTTGGCCGGGATGGGGCTGAACTGGTCGTGGCCTACGAGACCGCGCTGCTCGTTGCGCGTGGCAGCGGACTCCATGACGGAAGCGGGGCCGCCCTTAGGGGTGAGTCCCAAGGCCCTGTTCTCGGCCGCATGCATCATGGCCGCGTCCCTGGGGGCGATGGTCTGCCCGGCCAGGTCCCCGGCCACGGGAAACACGTCGCCATACTTTATGGGCTGGTCACACCCTGCTCCCCAACCTTGGTCGGTCCTCCTCGGTTGTTCCTGGCTCATGTTGCAGGTCGGTCCTACGAGCTCGACGAAGGTTTCGTCGTTCTCTACAGGGCTTATAAGGAGGGCGTAGGACAAGGGGAGGTGGGCACGTGGGCTGTCACGCGTTGCTCTCGGAGACGGGACAGCTTCGCTCGAACAGAAGACGTGGCGAGGCTCGGACATGGAAGTCCGACGTTGGAGATACACGTGTCGCGTGAGGTTGGGCTCGCGCGACGACGACTTCTCGGGGGATGAATTTTTCTTCGTGCAACTCGATCGATGATGAATCAGACCGAGCACGACATTTACAGCAGCGGAGATAGCAGTCCGATCGATGCTTGTCGGTTCTGGTCATGACCGAGGCTCGCTGCGGCCAACTCATCTTCCTAATTGGAGGAAACGTGGGCTCCACCACATAAACGGGCTGTAATATTACAACTGCTGGAGGACACACATCGAGCATCTATCTAATCAACGAAAGAGAAGGAGAGAGAGAGAGAGAGAGAGGCGCGACGAGAACAAGAGAAGCATGGCGGATCTGTGTCCTCTTCCATCTCCCCGTAGACTCAATGGAGGTGCGTCCATCCTCTTCGTCTCAGCGATATCTCACTTGTAGGTAGCCCATACTCCGATTAAGATTTAAAAAGTATATTCTTGAAAGATTTTTTATCATTATTCTTTTATTTTTATCTTTTAAATAAATTGATCAAATAGATTTTTTTGACATAGGAGTGTCTTGATCAAATAGATATCATCTAGATCAATTCAAGTCTAAGTACACCTATAGGATATGAGTTAAAAAATAGTTCAACATTTTGTTAGTATTTTTCTTTATGAAAAGTTCAATATAGTTTTTTTCTTTTTACTTTCATCTTGATTTTTGTTTTATTGTATTGATTTGATCTTGGATTAATAATATCTTATTATTACTATTGGAGAAACGATTGTACTTACATTTGATCCTTCTCTTTCTTCATAGCTAGTAATATCTTGGACTAACAGTATATGTGGGGGTAGTGCAGTGGCATCTGAGATCTCTCAACGGGTGATATTAAGATGGAGAACTTAACGAGGGATGATTGCCGGCGAAAAGGATGAGCTCTCTAGGATCCTACAGCATCATCTCCAGCCATCTCTGTGAGCTGCTTGGAAATAATAACGAAGGATATCTCTTGTTTCTACTCTCTCTCTCTCTCTCTCTCTCTCTCTCTCTCTCTCTCTCTCTCTCTGTGTATGGTGTTGACAAGGTCGAGTGGGTGTATCTTGCTAGAATTATAATGAAGAAGCACAAAAAACAAGTCCATAAGTTACGTCGAAAGACTAAAGACTTCTCCTTTCTATAATGTTCTATCATAGTTGTATGTTTCTTCCAAAACTAGTACACCGATCAGCAACGACATGGACGGCAATATTATCGCAGTATGGATATGCATGTCACGTTATGTTTGCCTATCGTGTAAGAAACGGTGCCTCTTCGTCAACCGCTATATCTTATGGCAAGAGGATCGTAGGGAGACTTGGATATGCTACGCAGGCACGAAAGAGAGAGAGAGAGAGAGAGAGAGAGAAGATTATTTGGACTAAGGTGTTTGAATAGGATTAAATAAAAAACAAAAAATAAATTAAACATGAATATTATGGTGTTTGAGAAGAACTATAGATGTACATAAATTAACCTGCCTTCGAATTCCAAATATATGCTAATTTTCTTCATTATTTATACTTGTTATTTTATCCAAATAGTTAGTTCATCACTGTCATCAATGTTCAAATTCATGGGTGGTTGATCAGTCTTCGTTCTCGATGGAGTCGTCGCACCACTATAATCGAGCGTGCTTGCACACGACACCATTTCGACGGATTCCATCTTCTTCTACATAATATGAAGTTGGGAGGCGAGTGCATGGCACCAACGACCCACCCGCTCTCCTCTCCATCCGGCCTCATCTGCACCCTCGTCCTCGGTCGCCGGCGACAGCCCCAGGGCACTTGGATTAAATGGCCCTCACAGGTATTCTCTTGAACGAGCTTTTAGCATTCTGAAATATATGGCATGGAAAAAAGACATCATGATATGTTTTTACGTTGTATTAGTAATGTTATTGCGAACAGCTTTATGCCGTGGTCTCGGGGCCAACGCGGCCAGGTTCGGGTTCAGTCCCTGCAGTGGGTTGCCGCTTCTTCCGGAAGAGGGGCTCTTCGCTTGAGCGGAGAAAGGAGAGCGCCTCGTCTTCGTACCTGCACACAGGTCGGGTCGGGGTGTTTGACCCGACCCCTCCGACGATTAAGTTAGTAGATGGTCCCCGGGGTTTTTTTCTCCCCTTTCTCCCTTGGCAGGTAAGGGGTTTTATAGTAAAGGGTTACCGCTATCCGGTGTGACCGTTTGCAGGGAGCAGGGTCGTACTTCTGGTAACGTCCGACAGTGGCGTTGGCTTGGCGTGTAGGGGCAAGCCCGAGCAGGGCGTTAATGCGCCTCGGTTGGTGTTCCGGTCAGTTGACCGAGTGCGGTCGGGTCGATCGAGGCGTGAGACGTCATCCGGGGTAACTGATGTTAATCAAGTCGTGTCACCATTATTGCTCTCGTCAGAGGGTGTCCTTTCGGTTGGCCTGGCTACCCCTACCTGGCGTGCGTCACCAACTGTAATGCTGTTGGGTCTCCGGTGATTCCCTCATCAAGTAATATACTCGATCATCGGGGATCGTGTCACTACTTACAAGTCTTCACTCATTTTGTATCTGTCTCGTTAATGTTGTTCATCTTCATTCAGTCAAATCATAACTTGATTGATTCGATTTTATTTTTTTACTCATTCATTTAAATCAAATCTCTAAATTGGTTAGAATTAATATATATCAGGTCGACCATTAATTTAACTCGAAACTTAACATGTATAATATAAGTTTTTCAATCCTCAACGACAAAGGATTATTCCCTCTCGATCTCTCTTCATCTCAAACTCAAAAATATTTTCGGAAGACGGATCACTCTCTTTCGATCCTAAGCCGTCCTTCGTATAACAACGAGAATACAAGTGTTTCTTATTTCTTGCACTCGAACGTCTAGCATGGTAGTTCAAATAGCTAAGGCGTCGTCGTGACTTCATGGCACATCACATATCCCATGAATTGTAGGTCAACATTAAGTTGGTCTTTGCACATCCTTCTCTCTTCACTCCTCAACCATTCTATTCATCGGTTTGGTAGCCACTTTCTAAATCTCGATGAGGGCTGTAAAAGCTTCTTCGACCAAAAAACCTGGCCATATCACGTAGTCATAATATGCTAAAAGCTAAATATAAAGAGAAGAATATGGCATAAAGATTGATTAGGCATTAGGCTAACAGAGACGTGTTTTGACATTATAATAATGATTTTTTATTGGATTTTCAGTAATCCCAAAACTTTAAATGGGTGGCAAACACTTTTTAAAATGGTCGAATGGTCAATACCCATTAGAGTAAGGATGCATAAGACATAGTGGATGCTTGTGTTGGAGATGGATGAACTGAGCGTATGGAATGATTTCTAATAGGTTTAAGTTAATATGATCTGATTAAACTGATTTGGTCAGACTAAATCGATGACAGCATATGTAATTATGAGAGGGTTAGAGATGTTATCTTCTTTTTTTTTCATCCATTGTATCAAAGATATAATAGCGTGTCGATTAGGCCGTGGGCAGCATAAATTTAATAATAATTACATGCAAGTGTCATCATTATGATCATGGATTTGAGCTCCATATAAATGATTAACTCCTCTTTGATATGACCATGCATACTTAGTTGATCTTCTCTCTCTATTTCATTTATTTACAAAGGTGATATATATATATATATATATATATATATATATATATATATATATATATATATATATATATATATATATAT